ACGTTACGCTAATATGAAGAACATATTGTGTAACATTTCGGTCGATCATCCAATCAGATTTAAAGCCCGCTATGCTTGAAAGATCAGAATAATATATATACGCGTAAAAACAAACAAAATTACTTCGAAAAGTGGCATATCTTTAGAGGGTGGAAGCACGGGTGTAAGGTATGTGACGAATGCGATCACCATTCACATCTATATTGTAAGACATGCAAAAAAGTAGTGGATGGAATATATAGACGATGTGAATGTGAAAATTATCTAAGAGAATCGATTATTACCCTCGGATATGATTAAATAATATATCTACTGCTCTACATAATTTATTGAAATTCTTCATATTATCGATAGAAATTTCTCTGCGTGGAAATCATGTCTTAACTTCTATCGTAGGAATCTTTTGATATGAGAACGCATATTTCTAGAATATAGCAATATTCAAAAGTTTAATTTCATTAAAAAAATATTGGTTTAAATTGCGCTAACCCTTTGCCTTATTGATTGTAATAAAACGAAAAGAATCAAATCTATTTATTGTTTCTATACTATCGCCTACACTATTGTCTGAACTATCTACGCTAACTCAATATCTCAATAATAATTACGGTCCAACATTCTGGATAGAATAAAAATGGTTATTAGTTATACCCATACAAAACGTGCAGTGACAAAAAGCAATTAACAATATTAACCTTATCAAAAATCCGCTGAAAGTTTATGTTGCCTGCCTTTTGTGATACTAATAAATCCGTCACAACCGAAAGAATATTCATTAGTTTGCAAGCCCGAAATATTCATACCTTAATTTCGTGTTCAGAAAAATATAATTATTCGGATTGAAGGATCTGATCGAGTTCAATATACATACAACATTGCCCTCCATAGATTTCAGAAGTAATTAATTTTTCTGGCTTCTAGCATATGGTAAGGGACGTGTCTATAGAGCTCACCCCCCTCCCTCCTCCTAAGAAATTTAGTAATTCTGATTGTAATATTTAGACCTGAGATTTTTGTCTACCCTACGATATCAGCTGATATCTGACACTTCCCTAATAGTAGTACAGTTGATGATAGGGTCCCATGATTCCTTGTCTCGTGATATGTATGACAGAAATTCGCGAGCATGAATGATAACCTATTAGCCATGTCGAAAAAATACTTCGAACGTCCATGCTCCGAATGGAATATTGTGGGATTCTTGAACGAATGTGAAAAGAGACAGTTCAATGAATTCGATGAGAATATATCATATTATGTTTCATGTCTTGAAACTATATCTAAAGAAGAAGGACCCAGAAGTAAAAAAGCCCAAGCTTTGCTCGATCGATATAAAAAGGCGAGTACTGGGTTTTGGGGTGGAAAATGGGTGGCAAAGGATTCCCTGAGGTTTTTTGTCACCGGTGGTATTGAGGCACAGGTGGCTCCCTGAGGTCTACTGTGTTCAAGGTTCCTAAGCTGACTCGGTACCGGCCCTGTTGGAGCTCAAACAATTCCCTGAGGTTGTTTGATGTTCAAGGTTCCTAGGCTGATCCAACAGTATGGGGTTATAGATAATTGGGTTGGTTGTCAAAATATTCAAATAACATCTTTTATGTTAGGATTCTAGACCCGACTACAAAATTGCGCAAAACTGGGAGTCAGAGCATACCAAGAAACAAGTCCATCTCTACAATCCGACATTCGTTGGCCAAGGTATTGGAACTATAAGTGGCGGGACATCTGGAACTATAAATGGGCTCATTGTTGAATCTTCAAAGAGAGAGACTCCGGTTCCTGAAAATCAGGTACGCATTATTTGGCTATAACTATTATTTGTATTTGTTTCTAATCCCATTTACAATTTTAATCTTTAGGACTACAATGAAGTTCCCAAAGTTCCCAAAAGAGCAAAAATTGAAGATTGGTTTCGACCCTGTACTCCGCCACATCAAATCTATTCGCGAAATGCTTATCCTCCTAGGGTCCAGGAAGTAATTATATTCTATCTCGTAATAATGTTTTATTACTTTTTATATTTTCTTAATGCGAAAAATAAATCACAACAGCGCAATAACGATGAATCATATGTTTACGATGAGTCCTCTGATTTGGATAATAGAAAAAATCACGGAGAGGTCAATAATGAAATTGACAATATTGCTAATGAAGATATATATCTTTTATCTCAAGAGGTAATAACGCTCATTTACACAATTTTAAAATTGTAGCATACCCATCTGATCTATGTTCTATTTTCAGACTCCGCAGAATGTGACGGAAGGTGTCTACAAAATAATCGAAAAAATAAAATCCATTAACTACCGATTATTTGATTACAAAATCATCAACCTTTCGGAGCGAAATATCACAAATCCCGTTAATAAATTATCAAGTTCTGAAAAACATACCCTAAAGGATATTTGGAACTCGGTATTACATTGTCTGTTTGTAAGCTTAATATTTTAGTGAAATTTTAATAATTTTGCTTATCCTTTATAGTTGGAGCCATCTGATCAATCAAAAACAATCCGTCTTGAAAAATGGAAAAAAAATATAAATCCCCTTGTACAAAAGTACCAATCTCATTTAGAAAGTAAATCCGCATTCGATGTAATTTCCTTGAGTGATACTATTGAGGTCGTTCTTGAAAAACCATATACCGGAAAATTTATTCATAAAGAACATTATGATCTTATATGGGTGCAGGATATTTATAAACGATTGTGAGTATAAATATTTGTGATTATTGTCATTTCCATTTGTGACATTTAAGTTTATGCCATCTATTTTAGTCTATTTCTTTTCGATGCACCCACCAACTTACTATTGGATCCGGATCAATGTGAACTTTCTTATCGAGAAAATTTTGTAAATCCCATTATTGTTAAAGTTTTTGACGACATCATGGATTTAATCAAGGTAAAAACGTAAGTATCTGATCTGCCATTATTATTTGTTATCTATTCCTTTAATCGCTAATTGGTTGTCTTTGCACAGAGGGGAGGTAGAAAATTTGTCAAACAAAACGCAGAGAAATGAAACTAGGCAATATAAGCAACAGGTTAGCATTGGATGTTCCCAAGATGGGATATATTCAATTAACGTAAATGCTGTTGTTTTAGAAGTAGGATTCTTAGAGGTTATCGGCAATGCCCTCTACACTGATATCAAAAAATTAAACGATGACACTGAAAAAGTGTTGAAGTGTATGCAAATTTGTATTCATTATCAACGTCAACACTATTTATCACGTGGGGTTACTGAACAACAAGTATCCTTTGTTGAATCATATGGAATTGTCATCTACCGTAAGTAACACATATTTAGGGCTAAGCATTTTATTAAATCTATTGCAAACCTTACGATCTTTTTATCAAACTTAGAGCGAACGTTTACAATTTATGTAATGCATCGAACAAGTGAAGGTCTATATGTTGTTGATACCTTAACTGAATTTAATATACCAAATACTAAGGATCAATTGTACATTTTGAGGGAAGTAATCGAAAATGTTTATTTATTTAAGGTATATATCTTGATAGCTTTCAGCCTTGACGCATTTTATTTTTTACATATTCACGCATTTACTTTATTTTTGGTATAACAGAGTCGAATAATGGACTATTATCTAATAGTTCAGAAGATCGTTCCTTATACTAAAGTTCATGTTGGCATAAATGAATCACCTGTTGAAGCATCACCCTCCAAAGCTTCGAGGACTTACGATGCTTCAAAAACTTCTGATTAGCATATGAATTATGTCTCATTATTAATAGATCCAAAATAGAAATCACGTATGCGTTACAAATTGCAACGCCGATCACTTTGCCAAGAAAAAAAATATATATCTATCCCTTTATTGATACAAAAAATATATTGGCATATAAATGCCGGATAATACATGATTTAGATACTATATTTGGCGCGAGTCAGTTTTTATAATAAATATATTTCATGCATTTCAACCGTACTTAACCATAATTATATTACGAAATATTGTATAATTTATTACTTTTCCGATCACATTCAGCTTCGAAAATGATAGAGCCATGGGACCCCTTCTTTATTTATAAAAATTATTGCCGGAGCAACAATATACAAATAAAAAAAAACACATCGCAGTTGCATACTGCAGACAAAAATATGAACTATTTATTAATTTTGATCCAACATTTCCTGCCGTTCACCAGGGTTCCTATAATCATTATCATCATATTCCTCTTCCCATTCTAACTTTTCTCTCGAAAGATTGTCCAAGGGTCTGCCTTCATCAACGTTATAGTCATCATCTTCTCTGGGGTCATAGGTTGAATCGTCTAATTTAATGCACGGACATGGCCCGATAAAATGAGTTTTAGCCTTAGTCTCACAAATATATGAAGAGCGCTAATAAAAGTTACCTCCTACCATATCTGTTTCTCCTATTATTGCGCTGACGATTGGAATTAAATGTTCTTTGGCTAGGTCTTGGATTGGGTGGTGTTGAGGTGACAGGATAGACGGTATTGGGAATGTTACTATTATTAGTCCTGGGGGTGGTGGTGACATTGGTTATGGCGGTGGTGCTATTGTTACGGTAGTCTTGGGGGTGGTAGTATCATTAGTATTGGAGGCGGTGTTATCGTTAGTGCTCATTTTTCGTTCCTAAATAAAAAACATATAGTAAGTAAAAATTCGATTTTCTTAGTCTCTATTAAATGGTACATTACTTTTAAAAATACGGGCAAGTAAATCAAGTAAAAAAATATATGAGCAAAAATATCGTTATTGCTAACTTATCTTGTGGGTAGAAACTTGCTTATTTTATACTTCATATTCGTTAGGTCTGAGAACCTGCCAGAAAGAAAAATACACGATTAGTAATTACGTTACCCAAAACTAGTGCCAGTTTTTTCTCCATAAAGCAACTCCGCTCGGTCATAAGTTCCAAACACTGATCTATTTTGTTATTTTTCTGGTAAAATTAACCCCCCCCTAGATTCGACGATCTCTCCTGCGAAGTACGATCTCGACGATCTGGGAATTCCAAGTTCCTGCGACATATGAATTTTGACGAAACCACTGATTAAGAACATCATACGTATTACCCTTATAACCTTTTTAAGTCCCATTCTTATCGCGGGATCGTATAAAGTAAGAAAAGGGTCTAGACTAATTCGCATTATTCGTATTAATAAAAAAAATCGACCGTGAGAAATATTCTGCAGGAGAGTGACACCGCATAAAATTTAGACCCGAAGGGGTCATTGCAAAGCAATAATGCAGGTCATTGATTATTAAAGCCGGTCATGATAAACCTCATAAAAATATAAAAATATTAAATTCAGTTTATACTCCGACGGCCTCTGGAAGCCGTCGGGATACGGAATTTATGCATAAAATTATGCGTGCGGACCCGTGGGACTGTGATAGAATAAATTCGAAATGATCTAATACTAACAGCTGTGAAATTAAATTACCGCTACGTGTTGTGTTAAAATGGCGCACACGATAACTGCTGTTAAGCCACTGTCTCTTGAAAGGAGGATGCTTCGCATCTGAAGTGCTGTTGGCTTTTTCTTAATAAACATATATAAAATCGCTAAGCCACTGTCTCCTGAAAGGAGGATGCTTCGCATCTGAAGTGCTGTTGAAGTACTGTTGGCGAAATATCAAATTAAGATCTGCAATCACAAGAAGGCAGTATAAATCATATGTTGATCGAACTTCCAATATCTAATATGTAGAACATCGAAAATTCGACAGTGCCGGATGTACAAATATTTATAGATTAAGTAAACCGCCCCTTAAAAACAAACATAATATTTATCTAAAAAAGGATAATTGAGGCTATTAATTGCAAATATAACATAACAATAACCAACTTGAAACATTCCTTGTGCTCTACATGCATGAGGCTCAAATAAGTACGTATATAAAATCTTTTTTTTTTCCATTTTCTATCTGAAATTTTTTACCTTTTTACACTAGGTTGTTTTTGTGTCGATAAGATGATTGCTGGAACTATTTGTACGGGTATGCTTAGTCAAGCAAAAAATTTTTTTCATTAAGAATGAAAAATAGGGCCTCTGACTATGTATAATCTTCTCAGGTGCAGTCATTGCTTTTCAAAGCAGGCCCGGGATCCGACTGTTACCTCCCCACAATTTATTTTTTTCCCTGCTTATAAACTCAATTTTAGAGGGCGTGATCGTCACTATAATTGTCTACGTAGTAAGGAGAGGAAGACCGAACAAGCTTCCCGCAGTTTAGTCCACTGAGCTACGAGATAAAAAATAGTTTGAATGTATCCACCTCGAAACACATAACATTTTCCTTTATCCTGGGCGTGATCGTCATCCTCAATGGGGGGCATGTATTAGGGGGAAGGTGATGCAGACTTCCTAAACAACTGAACCACACCACAGAGAGTGATTGAATGTATCTACCAGAAAAAAAAAATATAAACAAAATCTAAGAGACTTGTCTCATTGCTCTGCAATACCTTACCAATGTTCCTATACTACCATAGATGAGTAAAGTTAAATTCGATTTGAACCGGGTATGTATTGCATTTCAAATTTGTTAATTTGTGTTGAATCGCTTTTGTGTTGATAGATTAGCCACCCAGGTTACTTGCTTACGGGTATGCATAGTTATGCAAAAAATTTCGCTTGAGTCTTCACCTCTTGACGATAGGGCCTCTGACCCGCCAATTTACTGCACTTCGCTTGCTCATTGTCGGTGAAGTAGTACATGCTATCAGCTCTTTTTCTTATATTTTTCTGGCTTCGAGTGATTTATCACGAGAAGGCGGGGTATAATCATCATTTCTGGTGGCTCAGTACTTTGACTTGGGTGGTTTGTTCAGTCCGCAAAAATAATCAATTGGATGATTTAGCTGGATCGCATAAAATATAATTTAATATTATTTCTTAATTTTTTATATGGGGTACAACTCGAATACGAGGAATGGTGCAAGTGAAATTTTTCCCAGTATCAAACATATGAAGGTGAGTATTGTTATCAAAATAGAATTGGGGTTGAAAAGATAAATAAGATATTTGCTTATTATGAACAATCGACTAATATAGACAATGTTCGTGGAATAGCAGAGCTAGTGTCTAAAGACACATATTTCAAGTTGGTATTTGACGAGATGTGTTTAATTTTTTAATATATGTCTGTTTTATCCAGCACAAAAATCCCTATTGTAAATAATGGCGAGTTCATGATTTTTTACATCACTCATACTCCAATCACGTCTGGATACGGACAGCTTCTCAGACCGAAGGCAACCCTAAAGGGTTATAATATAAGAAGTGGCAGATAGATGTATTATATTATTGCACTAATAAATAACAGAAAAAATTATTATTTGATTATCAGAAGCTTATTCTACTAATCCAATTTTAAAGTAGTATCCCAACCAAGCCGTACACTTAGAGGATCATCCACTGCCTTAGTAAAATCAAAAACCATGAAATCTCGATCCCGCAAATGTTTATCGATGATCTTGGAAGCTTTTTTTGGATCATCTGTATATTGACGTATGATTCTGCAAATATCGTCTCTAGATCCCGAGCCCCGGAATAAGGCTAGGTGTGAGATATTTTCATGAATAATTTTTGGGTTTATGTATATTTCTGGCTTACATATATGGTGAGATATTTTGATGCCGGCCACTAATAAAGTAAGGAATAATTCGTTCTTGTACTTTCTTTGGTTCAGCACATAAATCCTCAAATACAACAACTGTACTTCGCTCTGGAAAGAATTTAGTTATATCTGAAATTTTATCTGGAGATATCTTTTTAAATATAACATCTTCTCGATATGTTTTAGGGGCATTTGTGAAGACCTGGTACGCATTTTTTACTAATTCTCATTTTGGTTCAGAATGCTTTCCTATCAATACCAGATCGTCATTCTTAATATACCGATTACCTTTTTTCCCGTTAAAC